GAATTTATCAATAAATTGCTCTAGTGATGAATATCGACTGATAACTGATTTTAATTTAGAGTTAATGCATTCAAGCCTGTTATTAGTTGCATTTAGGAAGTTACCAGAGGTATGTTTCATGCCAATAACCCATTGAGAAGTGATAGAGTGCCACTGTGCATCAAAGTACTTCAAAACTTGAGGAGGAGCAAACACTGCAAACTGGGAATAAACCTCTTTGTATTGCTCATCATTAGTACAGTATGCCATTCTTTGCACATAATCTCAGGCCCGTAGCCAGGGTTACAAAAAGTGGGGTGACATGAGAAGGGTAATATGGCGCGCGAAGCGCGCCGCGATTTTGACCACACCCACTTTAACGCGTATATCTTCCACTTTCTGCGTATTGCATCATTTTGAAATGCTCATTAATAATATTCATTAACCACATTATATAAACTTACTGGTCAGCAGTTTAACCATTAGCAGCCACTATCCCACCCATAATTATGATTAACACGTATACTTTTCACCTGTCAAGCTAGCTGCCATTTATTGTATTGACTTCACAGTCTTGGTAGTTATTTTTAAAATGAAAAGAAGTAGAAAAGATCTGGACATTAGAAGCTTTTTTTCCAAACAAAGAGCTATAGATGATGAGTCAAGTTAGTTTGCTAATTATAAAGAAAATGATACTATAAAAGACTTATTAGATAGTGGTGGGCCAATTCCTGAAATTAATTTGTCAAGTAGTAGTAGTGCACCTAGTAATGCAGTACTTGCAGAAGATGATGATTCAGGTAGAGCTATTATAATCATCGAAAATAATTTTCAGAGCCTTTTTTTAGATATCAGTAACTGGTCAGATCCTGAAATTGATAGTGTGGCTAATGACAATTTGGTAAATCCAGATGCTGAAGTCATTAATGCTCCCATGGAATGCTCAAATTCTACAGAGCCATCCACACCAACTGTTAAAGCAGCCCCATCAGCACTTCCTGAATCACCACAGTTCAGTGACATTGGAAATATCTTGGATCCATCTAAATCAGTTAATGATCTTTGTCAAGAT